TTTTTGTGGATTTTGAATACTTTTTCATGGTTTTACAATGTTTTAAAAATATTTAACTTCTCAATCAGCCATTAGCTACAGAGTTCAAGGTATTAAGTTCTTGTGCATTATAGTTAACAGCCAAACATAACTTTCACAGAAACATTTGTACACCAGTAGATTCCAAAGTTTAGTGTGTGTTTGAAAGTTTAATGATAAACAGTTCTGTGGTTATGAGTAGTAGTCCAAAACTATTTGTCTTATCTGTAGACTTGTAATTCTAAAAACTGGGTTTTGATAATACCTGTGGTGGGCAAAACACAGATAGCCTATCGTGTACCTTCTGCTTAACTACAAACAAACAAACTATACAACTATATTTGCATATATATTTATATATATATATATATATATATATAAATATATATATATATATAAATATGTGTGTGTGTGTGTAGAAATATATTTACATGTTGTATTTCACCTTCTTACATGTATTTGTGTCTGTGTAGAAATATATACATATTGTATTACACTTTCTTACATGTATTTATGTGTCTGTGTAGAAATATATGTATACATATATTACACTTTCTTGCATATATTTATGTCTGTGTAGAAATACATTGTAATCCACTTTCTTACATATATATATATGTATGTATGTATGTGTGTGTGTGTGTGTGTGCAGAAATATATACATATTGTATTCCAGTTTCTTACAAAGCATTTAATTTATCATAACTTAGTTTTTGGCCATGTTAATAACATTTAAAAAATTACCTTTTATTGTTAGTTTTAAATTAGCTGCTCACTCCTGGAGAAGAGTTCACTCTCTCTCCAACTTCTGGGTTGTTTTCAACATTTTTATATGTTTTGTGTTCTTCTGGTCATTGGGTTTTTTTTTTTTACATTACAGTTGTACTTACTGGTGTTATGCTTGTGTCTTCTTGAGGATATGTATTAATCTCTAGGAACCAATGAGTGAGAGCAAAGGAGGATATGTTGTTATAATATGTAAACAACACTATTTCTGCCCCATCCATTGCCAACGAGGCCCTTCTCCCGCAGGGATATGACACTGTAGTGTTCTAGGCACTATGCATATATACATTTATATATTAAATCAATTTTTCATGTTCAACGAATGTTATGGTGTGAACCAAATTAAGCAATTGAATTTCAATTGTAATCAATTTTAAGTCCTTACTTGTCAGATTTTTACGTTAGAATTAATAATTAGAATTTTAACACCTGTTATTTACTTTTATATTTATTATTATTGATAAGTTAATAGTAATTAATGAGATTTGGGCAGGGAGAAAAATCCTGAATGGCTATTTCTATGCTTTTTAAGTTCTTCGTGCATTAAAGTGAAGGCTGTCACTCACACGATTGAAATGATATGTATTATAAAGGGCAACTTTTATGTACAAGACTAGTATTTCACGTGGAGAATATGTTTTACGTATAAAATCTAGTGGGCAAAGGGTTTCATTTTCGAGTCAGTAGCCACTTGTCCAGATCATACTGGGCTTGACCTAAGACGGACTAATATACATATATAGTCGGATGTTATTTGTCTTCGTGACGAACCAATGTAGTCCGAAAGTGCGTCAGCCTGGTGTGGTTGGGGCGCTCGAGTCGCAATCTGAAGGTCGCGGGTTCGGATCCCCATCCCTCCAAACATTTCAGCCGTGGGGACGTTATAAAGTTCGGTCAATCCTACTATTCGTTGGTAAAAAAAGTAACCCAAGAGTTGGCGGTTGGTGGCGATGACTAGCTGCCTTCCCTCTAGCCTTACATTGCTAAATTATGGCCGCAAGCGCAGATATCCTTCGTGTAGCTTTGAGCGAAACTTGAAACACACAAACGAAAGTGCGCGCGAAATTGTATTGCTCAAACCAGCGGAACACGTGTCTCTCGATTCAAGTCTTTTGGAAATTTCCTCTTTATTGCAGCAAATTGCTGCCAGTAGATATATTTTAGTGCAAGGTAGCATAAAATTTTGGATTATAACTTGTTGACAGTGTTTTTTTTTTTTTTGAATCATGATGTCAGTGTTAAATCTCTATTGAAAAAAAAAGAAAAAACTTGTTATTGTTTGTTCGAGATTACATTAAAATTAAAAGCCTTAAAGCTAATTTTCTTAGAGTATATGATCATTTCAAAATCAAGGTAATCGAATGTAAGTTTATCTTGTTCAGTGAGGATCTACGGTCGTAAAATTTATCTCGATGAATTTGAAGTTTATCTGAGTGTACGTATGTACGGGGAATCATTCCGCTGGGGAAGTTTCTTGTAGACTTGTATACATAAAAAAAAAGTTGTCTGGCCACCTAGTGTGTTATTATGTATATCCAATGCTGCAAGAAAAACTGACTGCTTGAATCGGTTCAACTGTCTGAAATATTACTCTGCCTTTACAACTGAAGAAAACAGGCCCACCTGTCGAAAACGCTAGAGTTTTACCAGGTTTTGTGAACATGATGTACTTTGAAAGGATATATATAAAAGGGAAGTGTTATCGTCAAAATCTACCCTCACTTAATAAATCAATAGAAGAGTTTCGGTTGTAAGCCACAGAAACTAAGTTATACGTTATTCGCAACCTAATTTTATTCTGAAACTATTATAGTCTCCCCTCTGTATATAACATATGGTTTTTGTTCGAGTCGTATTTATAGCCTTGCAGAAATGATCTCAAGCTTCATATTTTATTCATTTTGTATGGTAGGATTTTTGGTAAACTCGAATCTTCCGGAAAATACGATAAGTTTTAAAATCTAAACACCATGAAATAGTAGTTGTTTAACGATAAAGTTTCTATACTGCCTTTGGATCGAGTGTGGCCTATTGTTTAATGTCTGAAGCTTTGGATTAAACGGCAGTCAAAGGTTCGAGGCGTGCATTGTGCATGGACACGCTATAAAAGTGGATAGTCAATCTCATTTGACATTTGAAAGGGCCGGAGAAAGCCCTTTTGGTAGCAGGTGTTGCTGACGGGCTGCCCTCACTCTGTTCATTTATTCAAAATTAATGATGACCAAACTCGAACTTAAATGTTCTCTGACCTCTCTGTTTAGCTCACGCTCGCATAAGGCTCTGTTCAGGTTGAAAATAATTCCAATTACTTTTAAGTTCCATTACCCCCCCCCCACACACACACGCGGAATATCAGTGAATTCCAGCTTATTCTTCAAAATGAACTCATTTTTTAAAATATAGAACGTGACGATCAAAGTTCATATTACACTTTAAAGTGTGTTTGTGTGCAATATTTTTAAATGAATTTGACTTAGTTTTTAATTTTTAGCCATCGTGTTTGAAACTTAAACCATGTTAAACTTAGTGTGTAAAACTGCTTAAACATTGCATTTGGTATTGTTAAACATTTCAGTTGGTATTATTAAACATTTCAGTTGATATTGTTAAACATTTCAGTTGGTATTGTTAAACATTTCAGTTGATATTGTTAAACATTTCAGTTGATATTGTAAATCGATTGTGGAAACTTGATCCTTCATTATCATTATATTCTTTGTTTAGCTTTCACCACTTAAATTTATTTTTATCTAACGACGTGTATGAATCCGAGACATATTTACCGAGCTTGTACTAAAAACAGATTTAATTTGTCATCCTCACGTGTTTGAAGTTTTTAGGTGGACGACATAAACAAGAACAGAAACTGCATGTGTATGAGGTTTTCAGATAGATGACGATAACAGGAACTGTTCGTGTCTGAGGTTATTAGATGAACGACGTTAACAGGAACTGTACGTGTTTGAGGTTTTTAGGTGTACGACATAAACAAGAACTACACGTGTATGAGGTTTTAAGGTTGACGATGTTAACAGGAACTCCACGTGTCTGAGGTTTTTATATGGACGATGTTAACAGGAACTGCACGTGTCTGAAGTTTTAGTGAGATGACGTTAACAGCCGCTTTACTTAACATACAGTCGCTCACTAACATCTTTTCACACACTATCCTGAGAATGTTCACGCTAACATCAGTTATTTGAGCGCCTATCAGATTTTGAATGATTGTTTCATAGTTGAAAAATACAAATGTTAATTATAGTGTAAAACAGGAAACTTAAAACCAAGGGCACAAGTCTACTAAAGTGATTCAACGATTCTCGATCTCTGGTACTTGACCTTTGTAACTGACACACCCCATCTCCCAAAAATAACAAACGCATATAACTCCGAAGGTTCATTTCAGAACGTACTCTGTGTAATTCCTTAGATGTACAATACCTTCTAGCACCTTTCTTTCTCCCAAGTAGCTCAGCAGTAAGTCTGAGGGGTTACACTCCCCAAAATCGGCTTTCGATACTCGTGGTGGACACACCACAGGTAGAGCATTGTATAGCTTTGCGCTTAACAACAAATAAGCAAACAAATAGCTTTCTAGCCTTGCGTCCGAGGCTTTAAGTAATGATATAATGTGATAGAAAATAAAGCTAATTCTAGTAAATTATATCGTGAGACGGTCAATATTGATAGTCCATGGTTAGGTTTAACTTTGCTGTCTGAAAGAAAGATCGCCATTGGTCTAATGAATAGGATTATGAAAAAATATATTATAGCACATGATATTTTTTGTGGTGAACCGAATATATATAACGTTGGGCGACTTAGCATCTCCATATTTATGGTAATTGCACCTTGTTTTCAAGCAACTGATGGCGATATATTAATACCACCTACGTTTCATTACATAATATATAGCCATAGCTGTCAGAATCTTTAGGGGGCGAGAGTTAATGTTTGTTCAGGTTAATAAATGTGTTGTTAGTATTGAGCGCACAGTAAGTGTGTGTGTAAGGTACTGGGCGGAGTTATACATAATAATAAAATAGTGCTTATCACCTCGAGGTAAAGATGGTGGGGAATCCTATTGAATCATTGTTGTTCATGTGACTGCAAAACCCCTGGAATTAGTAGTAGGAAAGTTAGTGGTGGTAGTTTGTTTGTGAGTAACAGCTGAACAATGACTTCTTTATTTTCAGGTGACGGAGGGTGAGAGTGTGACCCCAGTTAGACATATCGGTGGACCTGGTTACCTGTTGGCCAAGAGGAGTGGAAAAGTGGCGCATGATACACGTGGGCTGTAGCTCAGCGTTCTTTGAACCATTTTGATAGCTGACTCCCCAAGTTTCGTGCTTTCCATGCAGAGAGAGAGAGATTCATCTGAGAACGTTGCTTCAGAATCGGTTATTCATGAGTTGTAGTACGCCCTGTTAGCATTTTTATGATAACAAAGTGTCCCAACTGTATATTTGAAGAGAAGTGGAAACAATTAGTACAGTTAGTGTGTTTTCTACTCAACGCAATTCAAATTATTGTTCTGAGTAAAAGAAAAATAGTAAATATGTACAGTGTCCGTACAGGGAACCATTTGAAATCTAATGACATTTGTCTCTGGGTGGTTTTGATATTATCTGTTCAAGGAATGACGCCAAATCTGAGTGCAGTAATTTATGAAGGTAAGTTTACATGGTTTAGTGAAAAACAAGAGCGAATCCTTAATAGCCGCGGTGCTTGAAATTCTTTTAAGCAGGATTAGAGTAAATTAATCGATGAGACTTTTTTAACCTTTTTATTAGCTATATTGTTTGTGCTCCAGCAATACCAAACGTGGGGCGCGCGTATACCTGATTCAATATTATTACCCATCAGGATCTCTACCAGCCCTACCCTCAAATTGAAATTCTTTTAAGCAGGATTAGAGTAAATTAATCGATGAGACTTTTTAAACCTTTTTATTAGCTATATTTTTGTGCTCCAGCAATACCAAGCGTGGGGCGCGCGTATATCTGATTCAATTTTATTACCCATCAGGATCTCTACCAGCCTACGCTCAAATTGAAATTCTTTTAGGCAGGATTAGAGTAAATTAATCTATGAGACTTTGAGCGTGGTCAAATACATCAATCGAAAGGCTTTGACCACCTGAGTCCAAAACTATATCGGTCAAGAGATGACGGATATATCAGTTAAAAAGTTTGTACTTGAAAAAAACAACTCAAAACTGTTCTACGAGCCGATGTGCCGCGGCTAAAAATGTCAGAATATGGTATTCACGCAATTCATATTATGGCTTAACAACTTTGGCCAGAATTTCTAACTATGGATGGAAGTCCCACTTGATTATTTCTTTATTTATCAGTTATTGAAGACGTTTTCAATTCAGAGATTGCGTTCATCATCGGTTTTAGTTAATAATTTTAATACTTTATGTAGAAAATTGCATGTACGTGTATTGTTGTCCTTAAAAAATTACTATTTTCTTTTGAAAAAAGATATATATATATATATATATATATAGACAGAGAAGAAGGACATGGTTTTCCAACAGATAATAACATTATACGTGCCAGTCTTTATACGTTAAACATTCCTTCAGCTGAAATAGTGTTCGAAAGCGGCACTTATCAATAGCGTTAAGCTATCTTGGGCCCGGCATGGCCAGGTGGTTAGGGCGCTTGACTCGCAATCTGAGGGTCGCGGTTTCGAATCCCCATTACACCAAACATGCTCGCACTTTCAGACGTGGGGGCGTTATAATTATGGTCAATCCCACTATTCGATGGTATATTAGGGACGGCTAGCGCAGATAGCCCTCGTGTAGCTTTGCGCGAAAGTCAAAACAAGCAAACAAATACTCTATCTTGTTAAACAAACCTTGTATGTGAAAAATCTGTCCCATAAATTTTTTCAGAGCTAATTCTTAGATAGGGATGAGAATTTTCCGTCAATCGGTGGATTTCTGTTGTATTTTTTTTGTGCGAAAATATGCACATTAGTTTGATATGAAGATGAAGTGAATTTAAACACTGGTAATGGTTATCGAGTGGCATGATGAAGCGATGTCTAAAGATGTTGATAGTTCGATTAAAAACTAATTCAGGTAGGATTGATTGGAGAAAGAACTAGAAATTACGTTTGTAGATGGGAGTAAACCATAAGTGACGAACTGAAAACTGTGAGAATTTATTAAAAATGTTGATTTACCAGGAAAAACTTAATGCACGAACTTCTAAGTTGTAGTTCACGGGGTTGCTCTGAAACTTTGACACACGAACCTACTAAAAAACCACATAGAACTGTTGAAGGACTAACAACATTTGGCTAATTTACTGCAAAATTTAAGGGCTTCATATCTGTAAAATATATGAAAAAAAATGTTCCAGAGTCTATTCAAAATGTTTCATTTGCCCGTTATGTCTACATAGTGATTTAAGTTGTATTCAAAAACCCGAATGTAGATAAAACCCTTTTTTTGTTCTATCGCATTCTTTAACATGTAAGAACAAAATACTGATTTTAAAAGGATCATTGCTTATCGAGTTACATGGCCAAAGTGTTTACTAAGTTAGTATGTCCACTTCCTGCTCCAGTTAGATAGTACTCTTTTTAGGCTTACAACGCTACAATTATTCGGAGTTCGATCCCTTGCGGTGGGCATAGTACAGGTAGCTCATTGTAAAACTTTGTGCTTAAATAGAGAAACGAGTTAGTATGTTGGAACAATTGTCAGAGGGCTCCAAACATGGAACTATGACGACTGGAAAAGTCAAGTATTTTGGGACATTTTTTAAATGTGTGTGTAACCTAATTGTCCATTGAAATTACTCAAAGTTCCAAAACCAGGGATCGAACTCGGATTCGCATTAAAAACTATATGATTATTGAAAGATTAGTATCACTGATTAAAGTAAAGTATGACTGGTTACAAAATTGATGTTATGACTTAATAAACCGGCATACCTCGGAATTATAGGAATTTAAAAGTCGGTTCGAACGAGGTATGTAAGACAACAACAAAATGTATAATGGTGTCGAAAATTTTTACCTCAGATGAAATACTTGTTTGCATAGCTAACTGGTCAAGTAATGTATTTTAGTTTTAATTAGATGTGTGATGTTAAAGTGTAACGAACGTATTCTGTATTCGGTGTGTGAAACGAGTTCTTCTCCTTGTTTTATATTTTCTTATACACAAGAAGGAAAGAAATCGTTTTTCAACTTTACAATCTCCCCCTATTTCCTTATGGTTATACGCTCTAGTGACTTGTAACACTAAAAACCGGGTTTCGATATCCGTAGTGGGCACAGCACAGACAGCCTCTTGTGTAGCTTTGTGCTTAACAACAAACAGAACATTTCTTGTCGTTGTAAAGAAATCTGGTATATCTTGAGGGAAATGACCCATTCTTTGTTCAAAATGGGAAGAATGTGGTAAAAGAAGCCATTAAAAACCATCTGCTTCCCTCAGTTCTTAAGTTGACCTACGGTTTCCAGCGCGAAATAAAAGAAACAAAATGCTATTCATAACTTGTGGTCTTGTCGCAGGCCCATAAATATTGCTTTAGGCCTACGTGCGCTTTTGTAGATTTGATGGAATCATTGTTACCTGTGTGCTTGCAATGTTAGTCCCTTGACAACCTAGGTACGCTACATCTCCAATAGACCTGTCTTTGTTAAGTTCGGCCTGTATCATATAGGCGACTGTTACATTTAACAATGATATCACGTGAGGTTAGAAGAACATCCTGATTTGCTGGTTTGTATACATCAACCCATAGTACCAATTTATGATTTTCTTTTCTTTGCTTGTTTGATGCAATATTTTATTGACAAGTTTCGTGTAAGCTGTGGCGAGTGTATGTTTTATGGGTTAATTTTCAAGTTTCGTTCAACTGATAATGATCAGTTGGTTCGTTTTTTTATTTCAAACTTTTAAGTGTATATGTAGGAAAATATCAGACTGTCAGGTTTTGTTTCATTTCAAAATTAAATCTTATTAACCTTAAATCTTTAAGAGCTATTCTTTCCTTTTAAACACAATATCTCAAAACTGTATACTTGTATAGTAGAAGCAGTAGGCCAGGTTGCACAATCAGTAATATGTTCTAGTACTTAAGAGTCAGATATTGCAAAGTAGGGAAATTGTATATATATATCATACACTCTTCAGCCGTCTACATTTGTTTTGTTCAAACAAAACTTTCACGTTGACCTCCTATGTATGTACAATAACCGTTTTTCACAAAAAGCTACCTTTTGTTATTTTCATTAACTAACAAAAATTTCGATTCTTCATGGCGAAGCGTCAGACATAAAACATTTTCTGGAGTTTTATTTAGGTCGTTTCTGATTGGTTAATTATCTTTCATCTCTTTGCCCGAAACTTTGAACGTTACCCAAGATTCCTTTGAAATTGGTGAGGACAGAAGAAGGTGGACGAAATATGTTCGTTATCATAACGGTCTAATTCTATAGATAATTTTGAAATACTCTGTTTAACCAGAATATCGTACCAGGGTGGATAGAAATCTGGCAGAAATATTGTTTAGAGATTCAGCATCTGACAGAAGCCAACGTAGATTTGATTTAATGTTCATCGCTAGGATTCTACCCTTTTGTGACCTAGATTGTTCACACCTACTAGTGATTAGTGTTGATAACGTGATACCCCAGTGTATTTTAAATCGGAGGCCCCCAACCAATAAAAATGCCTTAAAATGTGATTTATCAATTTCAAAAAGGAACTTTAATTATATCTATGAACTACTTTTTCTATTGAATTATATGTTTGTAATTTAATGTGACTTTTTCTTGTCAATTTATATCTATTATAATTAGACCATTAGCAATTTATTATATTTGTGTTAAATTTGTAGACTGATGAGCAATTAAATATACACACTTAATTTTATGTAAGTTTATCTTATTTGCGTTTTAAAATACGAAGCAATACTGTAATTTAATTAATTCAACATAATTTTTATCGGCTTATTGTTTATTTAAAATTAAGATGAATTCAGCATCTTTGTTTCCGGCCCATTTTTTTTTGGCGGCCCACCAGAAAAAGCTTCACGGCCCCCCGAAGGGGGGGGGCGCAGCTCCCACCTTGGGAAACACTGTTTTAAATCATTATGGACTAATTATTAATTTTTTTACCAATTGCCAATATTACTTAGCTTTCACTTTTTTATGAGTTTTTATTGAGTATTTACATAATTATTAAAACATAGGGTGTTTGTAAAATTATTTCACAAACCACTGTATAGAGAATCTTTCATTATAAGCCTATCGATAAAACAACGACAATTTGTTCAGTATGTTATATATTCCCCCTTTTATCGAAAGCTGTTTTCATAAAATTCCCATTATTACATAAATCGAGTCTTGTAAGCATAATGTTAAAAACATTACGCTCTCTCCAATTAACGATTGATAGTTCAAGCAGTTTGTAACAAATGTTACTTCTGTTTTTTTTTTGGAAGGTAGGTGGCGAGATGAACGTGAAGTTAGTAATTCTTCAAAACATGTCCAAGGTAAACAAACAAAATCGTTTTGTGTTGTAAACTGTTTTAGTCGGAGCCATTCAAAAAAATTGTCCGTGTACGTTTTTATATTTAGCAACAACCGCTAAGTATATTGAGTATGAGAGAAACAGTATTTATATCAATAAAACTAA